CAGAGCCTTCCCCAGACTCCAGGACTGGCCCATCTTCCTCCCCAACCTCCCCACTGTCCGACTCTGCCGCCAGCTCCACTGGCCACTGATGGGCCACAACCACAGGATGGAAAATTCACCAACAAAGGAAACACCAATCGGTCAATCCATCCATCCATCAACAAACTTGATGCATAAGGCTTCATAAGACAAAACGAAAAGATAGGATGCATTTTAATTACGTGTATTGTGTTTGTATCCCCTTTTGAGTTGTTCGCCGCCCTGAGTCCCTCCCGGAGAAGGGCGGCATAAAAAAAAACAAAATTTTTTAAAAAAAATTAAATTTAAAAAAATTAAAGATTACCTGCGAAATCGATGTCAATAGGAGCTCACTTTCTTTAAAGCTGATTTCACATTTCACAGCTAGAATAACTTTAATGTCACTTTGAATGTGCCCTGATCGGCATACGTTAAAATGAAATTTTGTGGCCTACAGCTCTGCGACCGTCATAAATACGAATCGGTTGCGAGGGATCCAACTTTTGATTATGTAACCGGGTTGGAGGGGATTCTGCGACGATGGTGAAATCCAGCAGGTTGTGAGGTTACGGAGAACCGGTAGCGGAAATTTTGAGTAGTTCGGAGAGCCAGCAAATGCCATCTCTGGCTGGCTCCGGAGTGGGGAAGGAATGGAGATTCTGCAGTATTCTTCCCCTGGCACACCCACCAAGCCATGCCCACCAAGCCACACCACACCCACCAAACCATGCCCACAAAACTGATGGTAAACAAATTTGAATTTCACCACTGAACGGTTGTTAAGTGAGGGGAAAAACTCAAGTCCTTTCCGATGCTGTTGTAACTTTGGACGGTGAGTAAACAATTGTAAGCCAAGGATTTCTGTCCTGTACAGCTTTTCTCGAACTTGTGGTAAAGAATTCATTTCATTCCTCTGTTGGTTGTGTTGTGCAGCGGTCGCTCGTCTGGATAATTCAGCGGTCGCTGAAGGAGGGCCTCTTCCTAGAGATGGGGAGCCAAATCAGAGGAGGTCAGCAGAGCGCGAAGCATCTCCTGACCCAAATGGCTTTGAGGAGGATTCCATCAACCCCCAACATTCCTCTTCCAGAAGCTGAAAGGCGAGGAGGAAGATTTCTCTTCCAGCAATCTTCCTTTTTCAAAAAGCTGTAGCAAACATCTCCCTTTGGCTCTCTGGATCTATTTTGGGAGCCTGGTGTGACCCTACAAGAAGCCGACAGCCTTCAAAATCGAGAGGGAGTAAAGTGGCGGGGAGGAGTAAGGAGATCACGGTTGCGAAGCATGTTGAACCTTTTCTAACTTTTACTCTATCGCGCCTCCGTATGATGATTAAAAAGGACCTGCTACTGCCATGACTTCCAACCAATTTTTGAATGAGGATGGGGACATTCTTCTAAGCCCCCTCCCCACTTGACATTCTTCTAAGCTCCCCCCCCCACTTGCTTACTCCTCAACTTGGGTGCCCAAAGGACTTCATTGTTTACATCTGTCTTCAGTTGGTGATCAAATAAAGACTCTTAATTTGTTTTATATAGTTTTTAAAAAGGAAAAGGCCCACGTGTCTATGGAGGAGATCCTCAAATCATCCAAGTCAAGGTTGTCCCAAAGGCGGTTTTTTAGATGTTAATGTGTTTTTATTTTCCATTTTCATTTTCGTACAGTCACATATATACTGTGCAGAACCGGG